GCGACGAACGAGCACGCCGAGGCCGAGGACCCACGCCGACGACGACGGAAGCGCCTTGACGTCGGTACACCATCTTGCGGCTGCCGTCGGCTTCGACCGTCCACGCCGCATGAAGCTGCTGGGACGCGTCGCCGTCGTTGTCTACCTGGACGACAAGGGTCGCGCCGTCGGTCGTCGTGAGCGTCCACTCCTTGGCGGCCTCGGGCGTCACGTCGGGGGCCGAGAAGGTTTGCATCGCGTGGGCGGTCGAGAGGTGCGCGTTGAGAGTGTCGAGGGCGAAGCGGGCGACGCGGAGGTCGTGCGCATGGGCGTCCGTGGCGGCGGCCACCGGGATGGACTTGGCCTGCGCCAGCGCGAGAAGCGCAGCGAGCACGAGCAGGACGCAGCGAGGGTACTTCATACTACGGAAATGACTGGTGTGTTTGGCACGCGTCCCGCAATCGACGCGTTGATTGGCAGAAAAAGTGCAAAGTGAGCGCAATACCGCGTGTGATTGGCTGAAATTCCGAATTGCCACGTGGCGGTGCTAGAAAGGGCGCGTCCTTCTCTACTCCGTAGGGAATGGCGTCGATGTTGCGGCACAAGAGAGAGGAAGAAGTCGTGGCTGGTATTATACTAGTAGTGGTAATTTGTCTGAACTTGTAGTCTGGACGGATCTGCTCGTTATGTGTCTGGTACCACGGATTCGGAAGACCTTCGATTGATCGTCCTCGTACGATGAGACGATGTGTGCAGCTCATCCGATGGCTTTCGCTGGGATGTCTCTTTCTACATGGTGCAGCGAGGGCTACCGTGGTAAGCGCGTTGCATATTGTAGCAACACTTTCGGGGAACGATGCAGTGGAGGGTCCAATGAGTGTCGTGGCGAGCGAAGCGCTCGCGTCTCTCTAGCCGCTTATTCATGCACCAAGCATACCAAGGGGTGAGAGCGGATGCTCGTAGCTGTGAATTCAACCGAATGAATGCCAATTATACCTGCACTGGTGGAACGACATGAGCGACGCATGTGGCGTGACCAAGCGTCTTTTGCCCGCTCGAGCAAGGTCTCGCCGTGATGGAGCGCGCTGTGGCTCGAAGCGCCCGGCGACTATCATCAAGTCTTCCCTTGCCATCACCAACCCAAGGTTTCTACGCCATTGCAGCACCCATCGTATAACATCATCAACGTCGCGCGTCCGTGCAAGACAGATGGCGACCGTCCTTGGAAGGAAGAAACATCCTGTCTCTGCAACACACGGATAGGGCTGGGGTCCAGAAACGCTAGGCGTAGAGGCATTTATGTCCATCGCCCTGTACATGCAGCAATGAGCGCAGACCATCGTCACAGCAATCGCAAAGCGATCCTATCGAGCTTCGCGGAGGAGGTGGTAGCGTTTCTTGCCGAGCTGATTCGTTGAACCGGATCGCTGGGCCCGTCGAGGCAAGCTGTCGACCGTCCAGATTCGAGCTTCGCCTCGTGGCACCAAGTGACAGAGGAAGCGGAGACGTCCGAATCCAAGGAGCTTCCAAGATCCTTGAGCTCACATCACGCACGTGGATATGGGTACACCAAGAGGCCACGTAACCAATCAGTGTCCATGTAGCGCGACAGCCGCTGACGTGGCAGCCTACGACGCGACGTGACCAGCGTGGTCGGCCAGATGCCGCGGCAAGCTGCTACCGACGACAGCCGCACAGCAGATTCAAAGGGCATGTAATTGAATCCGGCTCGAATCTGGACACGTTGTATGTCTCTCGTGGCTGATCAAAGGTCCTACGTGGTACTGCGCGTGGTACTGCGCGCCGGCGCAAGCTCGCCAACAGCTGTTGGACGGTCCAGATTCCATTTCAGGCCAGGCGCAGAAGCAGTGTTTTTGATTGAGATTGCACTTTTATCTCGAGCTCATTCTTGCATTTGCTTCGATCTCCACAGCATGGTCGCTGCCAAGGAAAGTGAGCCGGCCAACGTCGTCATGACGCCTGGCGTCGCCGGCCGGTCGCCCAACGCCGCCGAGTACACGGACGCCGACGACGAGATCCGCCTCGAAGAAGAAGACAAGACGTTTGCGAACCTGCCGTGGTACATGAAGCTGCTCTGGGGCACCTTTTACTTTGTCCTGGCCATGAGCTCGCTCTACTTTTTCATGGTCGCCGTCAAGTGGATCGGCGAGTCGTTCTCGCTCCTCCTCGGCTGCGAGGCCAAGTCGGCGTTTGCGTTCGCCGACAACCCGATCGCGGGCCTCATGGTCGGCGTCGTCTCGACCGCCATTCTGCACTCGTCCGGCACGGTCACGTCCATCACGGTCGCCCTCGTGGGTGCCAAGGGCCTCACGGTGCGCCAGGGCGTCCCGATCATCATGGGCGCCAACGTCGGCACGTGCGTGACGTGCATCATGGTGGCGTTCGCGCAGATGGGCAAGCGCGACCAGTTTGAGCGCGCGATGGCGGCCGCGACCGTCCACGACATGTACAACATCTGGTCGGTCATTGTCCTCTTCCCGATCGAGCTGCTCTTCCACCCGCTTGAGCTCCTCTCCATGTCCATGTCGGGCGGCAAAGCCAACGCGTACTTTGAGTCGCCCGTCGATCTCATTGTCAACCCGCTCTCGCAGCAGCTCATCCGTGTCGACAAGAGCATGATTGAAAAGGTCTCGCTCGGCAAGGTGTCGTGCGAGAAGGCCAAGTTTCTCAAGGGCGGCGCGTTCCTCGACTCGTACAAGTCCGGCTCGATGAGCGGCGGCGCCATCGGTGGCATCTGCCTCGCGATCGGCTTTACGCTCCTCGTCCTCTCGCTCGTCTCGCTCGTGTACATGC